CTTTGTGAAAATGGAGGTCAGCTATCACTAATCTAGCAATTAGTAATCCAGTTCCATCAGTAATCTGGCACGAATTTCAGCTAGCATAATTTCAAATTTCTGGGGTCACCACACCAACTTGCCGCTACTGTTTGGTGGTGCTACTTGCTGCGTAAGTCATTCCAGTTTCTTTTTCTCCATTTATCGTTACAACCTACTCACTTTTAGCCCTACCTATGGTTCCAATGAATAAATGAAATGCTTCTCGTTTTGTAAAGCACATACACCATACATTGTTCATAAAAGAGAAAGTGGCTTTGAAGCCACTGTCAGTCGCCATGAGCTCAGCTCAACTCAGATAAGCTGTGACCAGTAAATTTGGGCCTACATATTAGAGAATAGGTCTGTGTGGTAAGTGTGCACTATATAAAAAAAAAAATCCTGCAGAACGCAGTGCATAATGAGAAAAAATGCAACCTTCAGATGTAAAACGCTGAATTTGCGGTGTATTTTCGTATGGTTTGTATGGTTGTATTCTCATTTTCTGGTCTCGTTTGATAGAATGGAAGATATATTACAGAAATAGATATTTGATTAATTTCAGGACAGAAAGTACCTTGAAATTGAGCTCAAATAGTGGAAATGTTCAATTTTTGCCAATGTTCAAGAGTAAACAAATGACATTGTCGTCCAGTACGTGTCTAACTAGCCGGTTTAATACAGTCACGAATGGGTTGACATTATTTATACAATTATTACAATAATGCAGTAGTCTGCATAACAGTAAATCTTCTATTTTTTGTGTGAATAAAAATTCAAAATGGGAAGCAAGTGTAATATAAGAGGGGCCTGAAGACGTGACTAATGAATAGAGAAAATGTTATTTTAGTGTCAGGAATGTCTGCTTTGTTTATTCTGGACCCTATTTTGAAACTGGCATCTCTTAAAATTTGTGTGAAATTAGACAAATTACTGATTTCTGACCACTTCATTGGGCAGCTGAAATAAGTAAATGGGTGTTTTTTTTTTTTCTTCAATTGACAGAACAGAAGGAATACTAGCGAAATAACTACAGGTTTGGTAGACTGGAACAATGGAATGGGCCAAAAATAGGGCGTAAAGTGGGAGAAATCCCCAATGCACAAATAGCACTGTTGGCTTAAATGTATTCTAACCTAACCGCTCTGCAATCCGGCACGCTACAGGTCCTGATGATGCCAGATTAGTGATGGTCAACCAGTACTTACTCATTTTTCAAGTAAATTATGATCACATAATGATAAAAACCTGAAAGATCACTTCCATGTTGACAAATTTCAGTAACTTGTTAAATTATACAGTATATATGCAAAATGATAAATCTGATAGATTTACCCTTGATTCAAATAAATGTGACAACAGATATCATGCAAGCGTGCATGAGCGTGTTAGATAGGAGTGAATGGAGACGAATGATACTTGGGACCTGACGATCTGTTGGAGTGTGAGCAGGGTAATATTTAGTGAAGGGATTCAGGGAAACCGGTTATTTTCATAAAGTCGGACTTGAGTCCTGGAAATGGGAAGTACAATGCCTGCACTTTAAAGGAGGGGTTTGGGATATTGGCAGTTTGAAGGGATATGTTGTGTATCTTTATACGTATATGCTTCTAAACTGTTGTATTCTGAGCACCTCTGCAAAAACAGTGATAATGTGTGAGTGTGGTGAAAGTGTTGAATGATGATGAAAGTATTTTCTTTTTGGGGATTTTATTTCTTTTTTGGGTCACCCTGCCTCGGTGGGAGACGGCCGACTTGTTGAAAAAAAAAAAAAAAAGATATCAAAGTCATGGGAAATGAAATGAAGATCTCACAAATCAAACACAAGTCTTCAATGTGCCTTTGAAACTAAACACAGATCTTCAATGGACCTTAGAAACCAAACAAAACAAATCAATGCACTTTTGAAATTAAAACTAAGCACAAATCTTTGGTATATCACTGAAATTCAACACAAGTTTTTAATATATCAATGAAATTAATTAAAAGTTTTCAACATACTTTGAAAGATAAACACATCTTCAATGTGCCTTTAAAACAAGGTCACAAAATTGGTCATTTGATCCTTTCTATCTCAAAGCTACATTTTAAAATAAACATTCTGATTATTCTTAATGCACACAACAATACTAAAGCCAGTGAGACAGTCATAATGACACATGCAGATGTTAGCCTTGCATTACATGAAAATTCATACCATTGTGCCTGGCCGAACCCTGTGACAAAACACACAGGAAAGTTGATTAGTAGATGCGTAATAAACATACAGGGAGAGTGATAAACTCAATTTAATAAACACTGATTATTAGTCATATTAACACATCACTGATCTACCTTTATGATGTACAAGTCTAGTACAAATGCTATTAATGTCAATATCTTTCTATAAATGTTCACAAAAAATATCAATGTAATTTGTGAGTATCACAAAACTGAATATTGCATAATTAGAAAAAAAATATGCTGCAAATGACTAGTTATTTCAACAATCATATAAGTTTAAGAATAACTGATTAGAAAAAATTAAATTATACCAAATGCAAGTTCCTTCTATTTTACCTAATTTTCTTCACAAATGCTGTATGGTTGAGGTAAGTTATAAATTTTACAATGTATATTTTATATAATTATCATATTCATGGGGAAGTGGTGAACTGATAATGGTCATTTAGTATTTATGTTTATAACAATTATTTGATTATATTTTCCTTGGGACATTCTGCCCAATGGGAATGTCTGTTAAAAAATCACTTTTATATTACCTCTTATAAGATAGCTTGTCAATACAAATAAATTTGTTTTATATTTACGCTAACACAGTGATAAACTCTGAACGCATCACAAAAATCCATTTACAACCTAATGCATAGTAATAAAAATTTTTTAATAAATTTACATCCCCACCTATTAATGCTAAAGAATAGGCATGAGAAAAAATTAGTTTTCTATTAATGAAGAGAGAAATTTAAACAATTTAAATACCATAATAAATATTTACAAAAATATAATGTAAATTTTCATGTACTGTACATAAAAACTAAATTTATAGTAGTTGCTGAAGCTAGTCAGTAGTGTCTGCAATGCATTTATACATCACTAAGTCAACAGTAGAATTCTTTCATAGTTTATCTTCATTATCTGTTACAGTACAGTACTTTAAAGAAAATACATAAAATAATTCAATATTACTGTCAGCATGCCACACAATTATCTGTAGTTACTGATGAAATATATATTACATTCCTGAAACAGTCCATGAAAAAATCATATGAACATTCTCAATTAACAGAGGATTCACACAATAGCATGGCTGACCAGACAAGCACTAGGAAAGCCCAACTCCAGGTTTAGTAAAGTAGAAAAATTCTCAAAACTAGTCAAAGGTAAATCTCATACTTAATTATTTATGGGTTGGTGCAAAAAAAATAATGAATGTAAGAGCAGCCTACAATATTTTGAGTGTAAAAATGTAGAGGGAGGAAACATCTAGGCACAAATGCTTGATCCAATGATCATATGGCAAGCACATTACTACTACACCACAAATTTAAAATGTGTATGTACTATAGTATTACTGACTTCAGAGGGCTGTGAAATATTCCAGACTAGGGGGGTCTAAATTTAAATGTTTACATATTTTTTTATATATGGAAGGATACGTGTAAACACCTGGGTATCTTTATTTGAAGACATTTCACCAACCAATAAAGATACTGGGCACTGCATGTGTCTATTCCTCATCTTGTCAATATTGTATATCATTTTTGTAATAACATTTTTATAAATGATCCATGTATATATGTACAAGTGGTCTCAACAAACAAACACAAGCTACAAACATCTGCACACTTATAAACAGGGCACATAGGAATCAGTTTGTTTTACAACTACCAAATGTTGAAATCCTACCAATGGATGTCTGGGTTTTACAGGATTATATAGAATATGAAGAATGGAAGGCAATCAGGTTCAGTCCAAGGAAGGGGAAGATAAACTCACTTCTTTGGATCGTGAGCCCCTGACCGGCATCAAGGCACCTTCCTTGAGGGGTGGATGTCTGCCAGTTTTTTTGTCTGTCCATCTAATAACTGTTCTTTTCTTTGACACAGTCATCCATTGATATAGGTGCATGTCCTGTCCACTGCTACTTTAGTTCCTTAGCATTTAATGTCCTATAATTTAAAGAACTAGCTTGTTTGCATTTTGTCTAGTCTACAGGCTATGCCTATTATACCATACAAAAGATAGCTACCTTAAGATCACATAAATGAAATATAGAAAACTATACTTCACACTAGTAAACATCAAGATAGTTTTCAGATATAAATGGATGAAGAAATGCTTTAAAATTTGCTTACACTAGTTAAGCCAAAACTGGAACATGCTGTGATAGTGCTGTCCACACTTAAGAAAACCATGTGGCTAAGAAAACAAAACCTAAAGACTTGTTACAAAATGAGTCAGAACCAAAAATTACGAGTTATGGAGAAAGACTGAAAACACTAGATACTTCGGCTGGTCAACATAAGGAAAGACAGACATGATACCACATGTATGAACAAAAAAGGATGCACATACTGTAAATTCATTAGAATTTCCTAGCACCATCAACAGAAAGAACAAGGCAAGAAGCACTGCCAGAAGTATACTAGAAAGTTCTTCTTCACAAAGTGGTAGAACAATGGAACAGGATGAAAAAAGAGGTAGTGAATGCTACAACCACTGGAAAATATAAAAAATATAAATATACATAACAGATTAAAACACTGAAGATGGAACATCCCAAGCAAAGCTCAACTATTACAATTATAAGTTATCATACGTGTTTCACTGGTAATCTTGATATTTTTCTCTATTTTCTTTTAGAGCCCATTATTTCTGTTTTGATCATCTTTAGAATATGCCAGGAATAGTCATGTTCACTCATCTTCTTAAGACTACTGCACTCCTTAACATAATGGCAGTTTATAAGTACTTGTTACCTTTGCGTTTTCGTCTACTACGGTGCATAGACCTGAGTTGGGAGTAATGATGATCTGCTACCTCGTCATCTTCTGTCTCTGAGCTGCAACCCTCACTTGACTCCATCATTCCATCCAGCAGATTAGCACGAGCCTAAAATGTTGAGTAGAATTACCCAACACAAATATTCTAGTAAAAGATACTACAAAAAAAAAATATATGTTTTTAATTTTTACATTGCCCACTTTCCAACAAGTGAAAACAACTAATTTGTCTTACAAGAACAAGGTTTTTCATAATATCCCATTTTCCTATTCTTTCAAATCTAGAATTAAGAATGATTAAAAAATTATGGTTTCTATCTCATGGGCTTGTCAAAACCTAGTCAGTTTTCTTTGATACAAAGTAGCCACTGGTTAGTTTAACATGCTGTAACCCTTGAACTTGCACAAATAACCTGCACATAGACTGAAACTTAAGATGACATTTCAGTCTGACTTGGACCATTAACCACTTTACTGGCTGTGCCATAGTACTACGGCCTTGAGATCACTGGACGTACCATATTACTACGGCATAAGCTCAGCTCACTCAGATAAACTGTGAGTGGTAAATTTGGGCCTAGATATCAGGGAATGGGTCTATGCAGTAAGTGTGCACCATATAAAAAAATCCTGCAGCACGCAGTGCATAATGAGGGAAAACTGCAACGGTGTTTTTGGCTTACAACAGCGACTTTGTGGTGTATTTTCGTATGATTTCTATGGCTGTATTCTCAGTTTCTTGGTCTCACTTGGTAGAATGGAAGATATATTACTGAAATAGAGATTATTTTGATTGGTTTCAAGACTGAAAAATAGCTTAAAATTGAGCTCAAAGTAACAGAAATGTTTGATTTTTGTCAATATTCAAGCGTAAACAAATCACAAGTCACTTGCTCAATACATGTCCAGCTGGTGGGTCTAATATGCATTCATGAATACGCTGATATTATTTATACAATTATTACAATATTGCATAACAGTAAATCTTCTATTGTTTTGTGTGAACGAAAGATCAAATTGGAATTCATGTGTAAAGCCTGGGAACATAACTAATGAACTGAGGAAATGTTATTTTAGTGCCAGGAGTGCCTGCATTTCTGGAGCCTATTTTGAAATTTGTGTGAAATTGGCCAAATTACCAATTTCTGATCACTTTGTTGGGTAGTTGAATTAGTTGACTGGGTGATTCTTGTGCTCAATCAATAAAATGGAAGACATACTAGCAAAATAGCTAAGAATTTGGTTGACTGGAACAATGTAAATGGTCTAAAATAAGACTTTAATTGGGCAAAATCTCCAATGCATAAATATTACTGACACGGGAAAATTCCCGTATGCATAATTTTGCTAGTTTTCCATCAATTTCATACTTTTTTTATTACCTTCACAAAAAAATTCTCTACCATTTCATGAGAAAAAAAAATTGAAAATTCTTGGGCATCGTGGACAAGTTTCAGATCGGGGGTCCGGACAGTGAAAGGGTTAAGTAGTCATACACAGACTAGTAAATAGTCCAAGTTGGACTGAAACGTCATCACAAGTTTCTATTTCCCATGTGCGGGAGATAGAAACTTACATTTGTGTATTCCAATTGCGGTATTGTGCCTTTTTTATTTTTCTTGAACTTGCTTACTGAAAAATGCTGAATCTGTACAATACCATAAAACAATGTAACGTATAATTAATTTCTTTAATATCCATTTAACCCAAAAACAGTCCAAACATATATATACTTTTTTACCGCTAGTGCCCCATATGTATATATACGTTTTATTTTTCCTACCTTCAAATTTGGCACGATTGGCCTGAGATGCCTTGTCAGCATAGAATGGATTCTAACACTCAGTGTGTGCAGTATTAAAAAAATCTGAGACCACTTAGCACCTTGTGGGAGCACCAGTTCAAATGAGCACCAGCTAGAGCAAACACCTGGGATTCACTGATGTCATGTAGTATTAACACTCCCATTTTAAGAGGAAGGTGATTTTGACCCTGAGTTTAGTGGCTTTGAGGTGGATGTGGCCACAAGTGGTCGAGGAAATATAAAAAAACCTCGATAATAACCCATGTGTAATATTTGTGCAACACCCTTTCATAATGTCTTATAACCTATGCCCTAAGTAAAGAGAAACAATTCTGGCTGGCTGGCTGATTGGCTGGCTGGCTGGCTGGCTGACTGGCTGACTGGCTGGCCTGGCTCTATCTCTGTCTCTGTCTATCTTTGTCTCTGTCTATCCCTGTCTATCTGTCTCACAGGTACACATAAATACAAGTATACATAGTGTAAATTACCTAGGATAACCCAAAAAATCCAGACAAAGTGCTATACTCTGCTTGAAGACGTGAGTAAACGTGATGACAACGCAGTCTTGTGGCTCTCTCTGAGACAGAGAGCTAACCAGATAGACAGGGAGCTTGACAGACATGTTTGTGTACCAGTGAAAACAAAGCAGGCCTTAATCTTTTCTTATCAAGTCTTATCACTGCACCCTTGCGAATGCTCATCAAACGTCAGCTCTTATCAAATGTTATCTTATCATGTCACTGTCAGGGGTGGACTTTGTTTTTCATGCTTCAAGGGAACTTATTATTTTATTATTACATATTCTTCTCCTCCTCCTCCTTCTCTTCCTCCTCCTCACTATTATCATATACTTCCACATATCCAAAACACTGTTGGGACCTATAAATACTTTGTATATATTCCAAGACAATAGTAAATGACCAAGGCAGGTGAAAATGTCCACCTGTCAATGTGTTTGTGACAATACGAGTATAATTTCAGTACCTAATACTAGTGACAAAACAAAGATTGGTTATGAAATGACAAGAACTACTATAAATTGTAATTATCAGAACATAAAAATTATATAAAATAATAGGAAAAATGGAAAAAATAGATATGTCGGCAACACTTCTGCAAGTGGCAGCGCTCCATGTTGCCGCCAAGTGATCGCCAAGTGCCAACTTTGTGGCCTCATTTCTTGGTAAGTACTGACCCTAATTTTTTTTTTTATCCTATAACACTGAAAAATGTGCTCTTTTTTCAATAAAAAAACGATTTTTTATTTTTCAAAATATTCGGGGCACTGGGGTAGTGAACGTATATATATATGTTTGGACCGTTTACGGGTGGCCTGGTGGTTAACGCTCTCGCTTCACACGGTGAGGGCCTGGGTTCGATTCCCAGCCAGAGTAGAAACATTGGACGTGTTTCTTTCCACCTGTTGTCTACGTTCCCCATCAGTAAAATGGGTACCTGGGTGTTAGTCGACTGGTGGGGGTCGCATCCTGGGACACTGACCTAAGGAGGCCTGGTCACAGACCGGGCCGCGGGGGCGTTGACCCCCGGAACTCTCTCCAGATAAACTCCAGATGTGAAGTTAATGCATGACCAAATTGCTCCCACGTTCATCTTTCATTTGTTTGTATATTTAGACAAATCCCACTGCTCCATTTATTATTCCAAATTTTGTTATGTACACAAAAATTTGATCCATCCCAACAATCTGATGCCTATTCAAATCTCCGTAAATACTGTTCACCCCTTTCCCCAATGTATAACAACCAGTCTAATGGGAAAATAAAAAAAAATTCAGAAAATGTATGAAAAGGAGGCAGAATCTGTAATATAAGTTGAACTATAGCACAACATGGGAGAATATGGTAAAATATGCACCACATCTTGGGGTAGAATATTAATTTAAAATTCAATTCATGCATGGCTTGAATGTGCAAGTTTATAACTAACACCTTGTAGATAAATGTTACTGAAAGGTCTGGAAATTATAATTATGATTCATAGTTACATAGAATTATGAAAGTAGCACAAGACAATAATTTATACTGCAAAATCCATTCATCACTCAACTCGTACACCTTTATTTTAATCAAGGGGAGCGCTAAACCCATAGGGGTCATATGATACCCAGGGACTGGGAGGCATTCAGCTTTGATTCAAAGAATGAGATAAGTCCAGTTCCTTGTATTAAAAGTACCTCACCAGCATCAAAGCACCTTCATTAACCCTTAAATGGTCCAAATGTATATATACGTTTTTTCAACATCTGAAAGTATGTAAAAAAATGTAGATCTTTTTTTTTTGTTTTACATTTGAAAACGTGTAAAAAAACTTTTACCTACATTTTTTTTTTGTTATATTTGAAAATATGTAAAAAAAAGTAGATCTACTTTTGTAGCACTACGAATTTGAACGCCGATTTGTTTGGACCGTTTAAGGGTTAAGTATAGCAACTCTCACACATCTTGTTGAGGATGAAGTTCAGTGATTAAGGTTTCACACTAATTTTTATTCAAAACTGCAATTTACCACCCCAGTTAAAGATGTTTAAAAAAGTTCATTTTATAGTCTTATGTATGATTTCATTATGAGTAGGTGTAATTTTCCTTTGATAATGCATTACCCATAAAAAATCAAAATGAAATATTTCCTGGAACTGCAATGCTGTATACTAATTTTGGGGTGAAACTTTCTGAACAACTGAGTACATATCTGATTACTGATGCTTCAGTGCATGATATCCTTTGCTTATTGTACAAAACATCTTGTAAAGCATCACTTCCAAAACTGTATCAACATTTGTTTACAACATAAAACAGATGACAGTATTAAAAACAATGTCTATATTCTATTCAACAAAGCACATAGCCACAACTGAGCAATTCATATTATTATACAATATTCACAAAAACCTTAAACCTTTATAGGTCATTAAGTGTCACTAAAAATTATAAGTAGTTTGTACATACCTGTGGATCCTGAAGATCTACATGTGGTTGAACCCTGACCCAGCCAGTGCCTAACCCAACAGTGTCTCCAGGACTGGTGACTTCTGCTCCAGTAGTGCCTCCAGGTTTTAATCTTCTTCTTTTCTCCTCCTCCTCTTCTACCTTTGCCATTCTCTGCAGCTCTTCTAACATCCCAGCAGGATTCTCACTTAAACTAGGCAATTCACAATAGTCACTTTGCGGTCTCTTGGGACTAGATAATCCTAACGTTTCTTTAATGAAACTACGGCGCTTTCCCTCCAAGCTGCCTCCAAGAGGTTTACTAGAGCCGTTGGAGTTCAGCTGCACCAATAAATGATTTGCACGAGCTGATGGAGGCTTGGGAAGGGCTCGACTTGTTATACGCTTGGGTACTGGCGGAGACTCTGTTAAAGACACCTTATGTTCGGGAACTGGTAAAACATTACAAGGAAAGGCCATACTAGTTGAACGGCGGGGCACTGGCGGACCATCTACTGTTGGCTGCATAGGTACAATACTACAATTTCGGTCAGGTACGGGAGACTGATGACAGGGTCCATCTGACGGTGTACTATATATTTCTTTCTCAGTAATGGAATTTGTACCAGGAAGGTGTGAGGCACTCCTGATGGGCACCTTAGAGATATGCGAGAGTGGTAATTCCACTTCACAAGCAGGTATAACCTGAGGGGCCAAACTAGATGACCGGGAAGGCACGAAGGGCACTGGTTGGGAAGTGGCCGGCAAGACTGGAAGGGTAGAAGGTGGCACAACTGGGAGGGAAGAGGGTGAAGCAGTAGGGGGACATCTGGCAGGAATAAAATTACTGCTTGGAGCACCTATCGCTAATTCATGCTGAAGACAAGATTTTGGTTTTGCAGGGACAGGAGGGGGAACTTTGGTCTTGGATGAGCCTCCATTAGTAGGTTTCCACTGCAGAGATGGCAATGTTCGCATTGAAAAATCATCTGCACTATTACTACATGTATCATTAGGAGCTTCTCTTGGTGATATTTTAGGAAATGTTCCTCGAAACAGAACTGAAGCTAATGGAGAACCTGAGTTTTCAATCGTGGTTGCTAATTTTAGTATATCTCTAGAACGACCTGTAACTTTTTCATCTTGTGCTTCTCTTTCTTTACAGTACTTCTGCTGCTCTGCAATGAAACCTAGAACAGATGCTAAAGCTTCTTTGTGTGTTCCTCCAGATTCTAAATCTTGCAATTTTTCAATAGTTAATAATCCATCTGATGTAGCTAAGCTCTTGGACGATGCTGCTAGACTCTTATTACTTTCAAACTTAACAAGGCGGTAGAAATCTCTAGTAAAAACAGTATCAACACACACATCATCGGCAAGCTCTTCTTCATGCTCTCCCACACTGGATGTCTCCTGGCTGGCTGCCTTTGATGCTTCTTGACCACCTGCCTCACTACTACAAAATGATACCCTCTTAAGCTCTGGTAGATTACAAATTTGTTCACAAAAGTTTTCAAAGTCAGAACTGCACTTTGAAATACCTTCGGAACAGCATGAAAGTTGTTCACTACTTGACCAAACAGCAGGCTGATCAGAGCAACCTGATCTGGGAGACAAAACAATATGATTGTCTTTAGAATGATCTAATTGCCAACTTTTAGTCAGCTCCTTTTTGCTTGACCAATTTAAATCTAAATCTGCTTTAAAATAGGTAGCACCATTCCAGAGGAACTCATTATTGTCTTCTTCTAACTCTGGGGTAGCCTCCTGAATGGACGGCAGAGAGCCATGATGGGCACCACAAGTTCCCGCACTCTCACTTCCTTCACCCTCCCCACACGCCCCACTCAGGTACTCGGAAGATAAATCTAATGACCAATCTTCAAGCTCTGCATGACTGTATGTTGGAGAGAGATACTTTCTCTGGTTTTCTTCTAAAGGCCACAATTCTTCACTACTATCCGAGGTAGTGTGCTCTTCTTTTGCATACATGCGACTTCTTTTGAGACTGGCATGTCCTGATGACCGCTTTAAACTCCTAGTTTTATTAGCTTCTTCTAAAACCTCTTCTATTGAAGCAGACCTGTCTGCAAGATCTTTTTCAGAAACGTGTCTTTCTAGGCTAGTAATAGGTTTGGGATTGTGAACACTTTTTTCAAAATATAACTGAGAATCAGAATAACAACGAACTGGTTTATGTCTCTGTACACTAGATGTTACATGATAACTATGTCTATACAAATTTTCATTTTCTGGTTCTTGAATGGGTACAAAAAATACATCCGAATTGTTGTCCTCTTCATCATATATAATACGTAGCCCATCACAATACTCAGAATTAGCAGCTGAAGGCATTTTCTTTTCTTTAACTAAATTTCTTTCTAGGGAATTATTATCACTCTTATTGGAACCTTTCCTGGAAAGACTCACTGCCACAGTATTTGCTAAGTCTTGCTCTGGGCATTCAATTGGAGTGGGCACAAGAGGCTCCTCTTGTACAGTGGTAACAGTGCAAGTAGTAATACTATCTTTGACATCTGCCTGCACATCACTGGACATTGTTGAGTAGCCTTCATCCTTGGTGGCTCCTTCTACACTTTCCTCACCCATATTGTTCTCATTGCCCACATTCTTTATCCCAATTTTGTTGATGTTCTTATTCAATACCCCTTTGTGTTTATCATCACATGATAATACTGATAAATCAATGGTGAAGTCACTATTGGTAGGTTCTGTTAAAGATCTCATCAATTTTTCCTTTACTTGACGTATACTACAAATTTCATCTGAACTTACACTATTCACTAAATTTGTATGTTTTTCACTTGAAGATTTGCTTATTAAGTCCTCTTCATGGACAACTTTTATCTTTGATTTATCAAAGGCAAGGTTATCAATTTTTGTTTGAAAAACTTGACAGTTTTTCTGCTCAGGAGAATTACTAATGCTGGTAGATGTTGATTCCAAAGATAGTGGTGAAAACTTGCTGGTAGCAGAATCACTGTCTGGAGGAAAAGACATACACCCCCTTACTTCACCTGATCTCTCACACCCATCAGAAGCGACACTACCTCCTGTCTGTTTTGAGAAGTTAACTGCATGTGAATGGAATGAGGATTCAACTGGAGATTCTGAACTGCTGCTACTAGTAGAGCTTACTCTTTCTGTTTCACACATTATTTGGCCTGAATGACCCCAAACATTTATGCCGTCACATATTCTTGGATTTAATGCTGAATCTTGGTTACTTATAACTCCTGTGCCCTGAGGAGAATTGGCTGCGCTAAGTGAAGTGATTATATCATACCAGCAAGTAGTTGTGGTTGAATTTGCTGTGGTGATTGTTGTGGTTGTGGATGCTAGTCTTTCCTGAGGGGTACAACAATCTTCTCCTAATCGAACACTACTTGATCTGGTGGTGTTGTGATCTGTCAATGAAAGTGTAGTTGGGATACTGGTGTCTGATAACATCTGCAGGCTGGAGTGAAAATTACTTTGGGAAGAGGTGTGGTCACCCAAGTGACTTCTGCTGCTCTCTTCTACATGCCATGATGCTACCCATCCCTCTGATGGCCAGGTTTCGTTGTGCTGCAAAGAAAATAAATTAAACATATTATTTTGCTTTTAATTTATGGATCCTTTTCTTATTGTTCAAAGAGTACAATAAACTCTAATGCAACCTCGTGTTAAGCAATTTTCTGACAACATAGTGATACTGGAAAACTATATTACATGCCATAAATCTCCTAAAATAAGTAATGCAAAATTTTGGTAGTAGTATATGCCATAGATTTATTCCATCTGCTTGCCTATAGACATGTGGCCATGAGCAGTGGCCCCCAGCCTCCCACCCCTCTTGACCCTAGAGCATTTCCAGAGATTTAGCCGTGTCGACTATACAATTTTTTCCGTAACTAGTGTTTTCCCAAATTTTTATAACTTACATGAAGCTTACATTATATAGAACACCTATATAAAAATAGCTGAAGAGAAAATAGTAACAAAGTGCATTAAATCAAACATCTGCAAAAGCTCAGTAATATACTATGTTACACTGCAATTACACATGCCAATGTTGTGTCTACCCTAGCTGTAATTCTGCAACTGTTGTTTATGCTGGTGACTTAAAGCGAGGAATTTTTTTTTTTTAACACTGTCTCCCACTAAGGCAGGGCAACCCGAAAAACAGGAAATGCATTCACTGTCACTCACTCCATCCATCATTGTTTTGCTAGAAGGGTGCTGACATCACATTTCAGATAGGCCTTCTGAGTTGAAACATCCTCACTCCTACTCTATTTAATCCCTACTGATATTCAATTTTCATTATTGTTTGCTCTACAACAAAAAAACTACAAATTAATAAATAATGCCTAAAAGAGCAGAAAACTACCAAAAATTCAACTTTTAAATTAAATGCTGAGATTGCACTCTTATATACATGTATTGGTTAACAAACTTGATCAGTTATCTAAATTGTCTAATAAGAAATTTACAATTGCCAACCCAAAAATAACTGACATCTAGAGTTATTAATTTGTGTATTACTGTAATGTGTTTTAAAATTAAGTAGTATTATCTTATTCTCACAAACCTTATAAATATACCTGTATGTACAAAACTTCCACTTATATTACCTGTCTGTTTTTTGTGAGTGAAGTTGGTAAACTAAAAAAATTTGTTTGATGTGCTGGTGGGGGTGGTGGGCAACGATGACGATGAGAACAAGGCAGAGTTTGTCGCATCCCAACTGGCCCCACCAGAGAAGACAGGGCAGCATTCTGTCTCCTTAAGTCCTTCACCTGGTGGGCTAACTTGATACATTGCTCTTGATGACTCTGTTAAATGTCATATGGCCACAAGATAGTCTTACAATTTTATCCTGGCTAAAAATTTCCAAGCTAATATCCAAATATTAATTACAAATGAGTGATAAACCAGCTGGCCTTTATTAGCAGTAAAGTACTACCATGAAGAAAACAAAAGAGGTTCCAGTGATGGCTCTTTTCTTTAGCCCACTTGTGGGTGAGGGTCTTGGCAAGAGGTGTGGAGTTAAAAGATAAAGAATCAAACACAAAGTGAGAGTTGTCACAGTTGCATTTTGCTGATGGCACCGTGCTCTTGGGAGATTCTGAAGAGAAGTTGCAGAGGTTGGTGGATGAATTTGGTAGGGTTGTTTAATATATTTATAGATGGGGTTGTAAGAGAAGTAAATGCGAGGGTCTTGGCAAAAGGCGTGGAGTTAAAAGATAAAGAATCACACAAAGTGGGAGTTGTAACAGTTGCTGTTTGCTGATGACACTGTGCTCTTGGGAGATTCTGAAGAGAAGTTGCAGAGATTGGTGGATGAATTTGGTAGGGTGTGCAAAAGAAGAAAATTAAAAGTGAATACAGGAAAGAGTAAGGTTATGAGGATAACAAAAAGATTAGGTGATGAAAGATTGGATATCAGATTGGAGGGAGAGAGTATGGAGGAGGTGAATGTATTCAGATATTTGGGAGTGGACGTGTCAGCGGATGGGTCAATGAAAGATGAAGTGAATCATAGAATTGATGAGGGGAAAAGGGTGAGTGGTGCACTTAGGAGTCTGTGGAGACAAAGAGCTTTGTCCTTGGAGGCAAAGAGGGGAATGTATGAGAGTATAGTTTTACCAACGCTCTTATATGGGTGTGAAGCATGGGTGATGAATGTTACAGTGAGGAGAAGGTTGGAGACAGTGGAGATGTCATGTCTGAGGGCAATGTGTAGTGTAAATATAATGCAGAGAATTCGTAGTTTGGAAGTTAGGAGGAAGTGCGGGATTACAAAAACTGTTGTCCAGAGGGCTGAGGAAGGGTTGTTGAGGTGGTTCGGACATGCGGAGAGAATGGAACAAAAGAGAATGACTTCAGGAGTGTATAAATCTGTAGTGGAGGGAAGGCGGGGTAGGGGTCGGCCTAGGAAAGGGAGGGGCTAAAGGGGGTTTTGTGTGCGAGGGGCTTGGACTTCCAGCAAGCATGCGGGAGCGTATTTGATAGGAGTGAATGGAGACAAGTGGTTGGAGTGTGAGCAAAGTAACATTTACGAAAGAATTCAGGAAAACCGGCAGGCCGGACTTGAGTGCTGGAGATGGGAAGTACAGTGTCTGCACTCTGAAGCAGGGGTGTTAATGTTGCAGTTTTATTTACTGTAGTGTAAAGCACCCCTCTGGCAAGACAGTGATGGGGTGAATGATGATGAAAGTTTTTCTTTTTCGGGCCACCCTGCCTTGGTGGGTATCGGCCGATGTGTTAATAAAATAAAAAATATTCTCCCGTTCTGCAAGCGTCACTGCTGCAAGAGGTGTCTTGATACAGGTTAAGGATTCTTGAACTGTCTCAATTCCCAGGCACTGTAAGACCCTTATATGTTTGGCACTTTCTCAAACAATTGTTCCTATTCTTTGTTTGTTCTCCTCTATTTCCTTGAATAATGTCTTTTACTACCCACAAGTATTTACTTGTTAATGCAATCCAAATTCTGTACATACTTTTATCTCTGATATGAGCAAATTACAAATTTCTGTAATATACAAACCTGCAAATGTAATTCTGGACTCTTGTTTTTATTAAAAATACATATTACTGAAATGATATCTTAAAAGAATGCATGTAGTTTAAATAGGTATGAAGGAAAAATCAAGAGAGATGTAGGCAATATGTGTAATGGTAGAGAAGCCCACAGGTGTGCAGTGTTGGGTACTAAACTGGGTTAACCTAATTACTCTATGATAGTTAAGACATCTAGGGAGTAGGTGTGATTGTAGGATTGTAGAAGTGCTGGGGAGGAGAGGTTTAATGGTGGGAAGACAAGTTATTTCAGTGAATGGGAAAGAGAAAGATTGCTTTAAGAGATAGGTCTCATAATGGCATACAGTTTTATAACTGGTTAGATATGTTTTGTTAGAACTACAAAAAAGCTTTTGTCATCTTTCCAGGGAAACATGCTGTCAGGGATACCAACAGGTGGGCAGGCATTTTTTTTTTTCAACAAGTCAGCCGTCTCCCACCGAGGCAGGGTGACCCAAAAAGAAAGAAATTCCCCCAAAAAGAAAATACTTTCATCATCATTCAACACTTTCACCTCACTCATACATAATCAGTCTTTGCAGAGGCACCCAGATACAGCGGAACCCCAAGTTTTAAACATATCGACTATCGAATGATTCGAGTTTCGACCGTTTTTTTTTTTCAAACCAATTTTGTCCTGACTAACAAATGTGCCCCATCTTTCGAACAGCCGGGTACTGGACCTGTCCGCCTGCCCGCTTTGTCCATAACCCTGCACAGGCATCGTAAGCCAGTCTGGCTTTGTTGATGCTTGAGTGAACACTAACCTGCACGCTCATTCAAACATTTCACTATTAATTCACTGTATTTGGTGCTTGTGCTACTGTGAAATAAGCTACCATGAGCCCGAAGAAACTTGCTAGTGGTACCCCTGTGGTAAAGAAGGTGAGAAACCACCATAGACATGAAGAAGGAAATAATATAAAAATATGAGAGTGGTGAGCGACTTGTTGAACTTGCCAGGATGCATGGGAAAAACAAGTCAACCATCACTTCTATCCTCACAAAGAAAGAACAAATCAAGGAAGTTGAAGCTGCAAAAGGTGTTGATATGCTAACCAAAAATAGACCACAGACAGTCGATCAAGTTGAGATGTTGTTGCTGGCGTGGATCAAGGATAAAGCTATGGCAGTGATAGTGTTTCTAAGACAATCATTTGTGAGAGGGCAAGGCAGCTGCATGCCAATCTTGTGAAGCAAACTCCTGAAACCGGTGCTGATAGCTAATTTAACGCCAGCAGAGGCTGGTTTGACAGATATAAAAAGTGTAATGGCATACACAATGTTGTAAGGCATGGTGAGGCAGCCAGTTCAGACAAACGGGCTGCTGAAAAATTTGTGCATGAATTGAAGGGGTACGTAGACACTGAAAAATTCAAACAGCAACAAGTGTTCAATTGTGATGAAACAGGCCTGTTTTGGAAGAAAATGCTGAAGAGGACCTGCATTACTCAGGAGGAAAAGGCACTCCCAGGACACAAGCCTATGAAAGACAGGCTAACTCTTTTGTTCTGTGCTAAAGCTAGTGAGGATTTTAAACTGAAGCCTTTACTGGTGTATCACTCAGAAAATCCCAGTGTGTTTAAGAAAAACAATGTCATTAAGAACAAGTTATATGTCTTGTGGAAAGCAAATAATAAGGCATGGGTCACGAGGCACATTTTCAAAGAGTGGGTCCATGAAGTGTTTGGCCCCAGTGTGAAAAAATATCTTCTAAAAAATAATCTGCAACTCCAGTGCCTCCTGTTACTGGACAATGCTCCTGCACATCCTCCAGACTTGGTAAACCTACTGTCTAGGGACTACAGTTTCATCACAGTGAAGTTCTTGCCTCCTAACCCCACTCCTCTCCTCTAGCCCATGGACCAGCAAGCCATTTCTAACTTCAAAAAACTCTACACAAAACCAGTGTTTGAAAAGTGCTTTGATGTGACCTCAGACACTAAGTTGACCTTGAGAGAGTTCTAGAGGAATCACTTCAATATCTACACCTTCATAAGCCTTATAGGTAAGGCTTGGGAGGGAGTGACTTCCAACACTTTAAACTCTGCTTGGAGACAATTGTGGCCACAATGTGTTGTCCAGAGGGATTTTGAAGGGTTTGAGGCTGACCCTGACCCTGCCGACCCTCTGCCTGTTGTGGAAGATATTGTGGTATTGGGCAAATCCATGGGGTTTGAGGTGAGTGGTGAGGATGTGGAAGAGTTGGTGGAGGGCTGCAGGGAAGAGCTGGAAGAGCTTTCATCTGGAACAGTATCAGACCATAGCTCAGGAACTTGCTTCAGAGGAGGAGGAAGAGGGAGTGGATGAGGTGCCTTCTTCAAACATTAAGGAGATTTGTGCCAAGTGGAATGATGTGCAAACGTTTGTGGAGAAGTACCACCCTGAGTAAACTGAAACAAGCCATCTTTGCAACAAGTTCAGTGACAGAACCATGTCCCATTTTAGGGAAATCTTAAAGAGGCACCAGAAACAGAGGACTGTGGACAGTTATTTGGTGAGACAAGGGTCCAGTGGCTCTCAAGTTGGTCCTAGTACCATTAAAAGACAAAGAAGGAAAGTAACCCCAGAGAGGGCTTTGCTACTTGAAGTCTTTATGGAGGGTTATTCCCCTTCCAAACAGTAAGCCCTCCCTCACTCCTCCTCCCTATCTTCCAGATGCTATCAACAGTCTTCAATAAAGGCAAGTAAAAATGTTATTTTATATGTTTATTTAAATTTTTATTAATGTATTACTAATTGTACTATGTATGTTTGTTGTGTGTATGTAAAACTATAATGTAATCTCTATAAAATGTATTTTCTGTGAATATTTTTAGGTTTCTGGAACAGATTAATTGTATTCCCATTATTTCTTAAAGGAAATATTGCTTCGACTTTTGAACATTTCGACTTTAGAACTAGCTCCTGGAACGGATTAAGTTCGAACTCAAGGTTTGGAGGGATATATGTTATATATCCCTCCAAACTGCCAATATCCCAAACCCCTCCTTTAAAGTGCAGGCATTGTACTTCCCATTTCCAGGACTCAAGTCTGGCTATATAAAAATAACCAGTTTCCCTGAATCCCTTCACTAAATATTACCCTGCTCACACTCCAACAGCTTGTCAGGTCCCAAAAACCATTCATCTCCATTCACTCCTATCCAACACGCTCACGTATGCTTGCTAGAAGTCCAAGCCCCTTGCCCACAAAACCTCCTTTACCCCCTCCCTCCAACTTTTTCGAGGATGACCCCTACCCCGCTTTCCTTCCCCTACAGATTTATATGATCTCCATGTCATTCTACTTTGATCCATTCTCTCTAAATGACCAAACCACCTCAACAACCCCTCTTCAGCCCTCCGACTAATACTTTTATTAACTCCACACCTCCTCCTAATTTCCACACTCTGAATTCTCTGCATAATATTTACTCCACACATTGCCCTTAGACAGGCCATCTCCACTGCCTCCAACTGCTTCCTCGCTGCAGCATTTACAACCCAAGCTTCACACCCATATAAGAGTGGTGGTATCACTATACTTTCATACATTCCCTTCTTTGCCTCCATAAATAATGTTTTTTGTCTCCACATATACCTCAACACACCACTCACCTTTTTTCCTTCATCAATTCTATGGTTAACCTCATCCTTCATAAACCCATCCACTGACACGTCAACTCCCAAATATCTGAAAACATTCACTTCTTCCATACTCCCTCTCCAATGTGATATGTAATTTTCTTTATCTAAATAGTTTGATACCTTCATCACCTTACTCTTATCTATGTTCACTTTCAACTTTCTACCTTTACACACCCTCCCAAGTTCATCCACTATCCTTTGCAACTTTTCTTTAGAATCTCCCAAAAGCACAGTATCATCAGCAAAAAGTAACTGTGTCAACTCCCATTTTGTACTTGATTCCCCATAATTTAATCCCACTCCTCTCCCCAACACCTTAGCATTTACCTCCTTCACAACCCCATCCATAAATATATTAAACAACCATATTGACATTACGCATCCCTATCTAAGACCTACTTTTACCGGGAAGTAATCTCCCTCTCTCCTACACACCCTAACCTGAGTCTCACTATCCTCATAAAAACTCTTTACAGCATTTATTAACTTACTATCTATTCCATACACTTGCAACATCTGCCACACTGCTCCCCTATCCACCCTATCATATGCCTTTTCTAAATCCATAAATGCAATGAAAACTTCCCTACCTTTATCTAAATACTGTTCACATATATTCTTCAATGTAAACACTTCATCTACACATCCCCTACCCACTCTAAAGCCTCCTTGCTCATCTGCAATCCTACTGTCTGTCTTACCTCTAATTCTCTCAATAATAACCCTACCGTACACTTTTCCTGGTATACCTAGTAAACCTATTCCCCTATAATTTTTACAATCTCTTTTGTCCTCCTCCTCTTTATAAAAAGAAACTATACATGCTCTCTCCCAATCCCTAGGTACCCTCTCCTCTTTCATACATTTATTAAACTATAATACCAACCACTCCAACACTATATCTCCCCCCTGCTGTTAACATTTCTGTCATGATTCTGTCAGTTTCAGCTGCTTTAATCCCTTTCACTCTACATAATGCCTCACGCACTTCCTCCACACTCACATTCTGCTCTTTTTCACCCCTAAAGATATACTTCCCTGGCCAGTGCATGAAATTACCATCTTCCTTTCTTCATCGACATTTAAAAGTTCCTCAAAATATTCCCGCCATCTACCCAATACCTCCAGCTCCCCATCTACTAACTCCCCTACTCTGTTTTTATGTGACACATCCATTTGTTCCCTAGGTTTTCTTAACTTGTTTATCTCACTCCAAATTTTTTTCTTATTTTCATTAAAATTTCTTGACAGTGCCTCTCCCACTCTATCATCTGCTCTCCTTTTGCACTCTCTCACAACTCTTCACCTTTCTTTTACTCTCCATATACTCTGCTCTTCATATAACACTTCTGCTTTGTAAAAGCCTCTCATAAGCTATCTTTTTCTCTTTTATAACACCCTTTACTTCATCATTCCACCAATCACTCCTCTTTCCTCCTGCACCCACCTTCCTATAACCACAAACTTCTGCTTCACATTCTAATACTGCATTTTTAAAACTATTCCAACCCTCTTCAAGCCCCAACTACTCATACTTGCACTATCCCACCTTTCTGTCAATAGTTGCTTATATCTCACCCTAACTTCCTCTTCCCTTAGTTTATACACTTTCACCTCTCTCTTACTTGCTGTTGCCATTTTCCTTTTGTCCCATCTACCTCTTACTCTAACTGTTGCTACAACTAAATAATGATCCGATATATCAGTTGCCCCTCTATAAACATGTACGTCCTGAAGCCCACCCATCAACCTTTCATCCACCAATACATAATCTAACAAACTACTTTCATTACGTGCTATATCATACGTTGTATACTTATTTATCCTCTTTTTCATAAAATATGTATTATTACCAAACCTCTTTCTACACATAGCTCAATTAAAGGTTCCCCATTTTCATTTACCCCTGGCACCCTAATTTACCTACTACTCCCTCCACAATATTTTTACCCACTTTAGCATTGAGATCCCCAACCACAAGTACTCTCTCACTAGGTTCAAAACTCCCCATGTACTCAACATTTCCCAAAATCTCTCTCTCTCTCCTCTACACTTCTCTCTTTTCCAGGTGCATAAACACTTACTATAACCCACTTTTCACATCCAACCCTTATTTTTCTACATTTATATTACTTCTTTTCCTACAATAACTTATCCTTCAACATTATTGCTACTACTCCTTTAGCTCTAGCTCTATTTGAAACCCCTGACCTAATCCCATTTATTTCTCCCCACTGAAACTCTCCCACCCCCTTCAGCTTTGTTTCACTTAAAGCCAAGTCATCCAGCTTCTTCTCATTCATAACATCCACAATCATTTCTTTCTTTTCATTCGCACAACATCCACACACATTCAAACATGCCACTTTGATGGTTTTCTTATTCCTTTTAGTAGGCTATACGGAAAAAGGGGTTACTAACCCACTGTTCCCGGTATTTTAGTTGACTTTTATAACACGCATGGCTTAAGGAGGAAAGATTCTTATACCACTTCCCCATGGATATAAAAGGAAAAGCAATAAAAACAAGAACTATTAAGACAAAATCAAAGAAATCTCAGAGGAGTGTGTATACATAAACGTGTACATGTATGTGTAGTGTGACCTAAGTGTAAGCAGAAGTAACAAGATAAACCTGAAATCTTGCATGTTTATAAGACAGTAAAAAGACACCAGCAATCCTACCATCATGTAAAACAAATACAGGCTTCCCTTTTACACTCACTTGGCAGGACGGTAGTACCTCCCTGGGTGGTTGCTGTCTACCAACCTACTACCTATAAAAGGCATGGTTACATGTCATAATAAATTGATGAAGGGTGGTCATAAAGGCTTCTCCAAAAGAGCAAGATTAATAATAGACTTCTTAATACACTGATGGAGATGATCATATACACTCAGTGAATCATTTCTTTTCTTATTTTAACACACCAGCCATCTCCCACCAAGGTAGGGTGATCCAAAAAGAAGAAATAAAAGCTTTTCCTCTTTTTACAGTTAGTAATTTATACACAAGAAGGGGTTACTATACCCTTGCTCCTAGCATTTTAGTCATCTCTTATAACATGCATGGCTTATGGAGGAAGGATTCTGCTCCACTTCCCCATCACCACATCATTTACCATAAAAATCCTTTCCCACTTCTACAAGGTAGGGGAAGGTACTCACTAGGAAAGAATGGAAAATGCTGTAAATAAAGAAGGATAAGGATATTCTGAGAGGCAAACTTTCACAGTACTTTATACAATGCATCAAAGATATAGATAGAAAAGGTAATGTAATGAAACTAACAGTGTGCTCGTAAGTCATGGTCTTTTAATAAAACATATCTCATATCATTCCTCGGTGGGAGACGGCCGACTTGTTGAAAAAAAAAAAAAATTCTTACAAAAAACTATAAAATTTAATTTTGCTTTCAAATTTCCACTAAGCTTTAAAACTGACAGTAATGAAAATTTTTTAATGCATTTTTTCCAGCATCACTAAAATTTTAAGCAATCAACACATTTAACAATTACTAAGGCTACTATAGCATAACCGTCAAAAAATCTATTAAGAGAATTACTATGTATTCTGCTATACTGTATAAGCAATGCACTCGCACACCAGAGGTTATTATATTTTACCTTTTGGGAGAGGAGTGCCTGAACAACTTGAGTAGCTACGCGATCAAGGCAAACTTCATACTGTCGCTGCTGAGCACGAGCTTCGTTCTGTAGCTTTTTGTTGGCTTGCTCCAAGGTGTGACACCGCTCAGCCAACATCTGCACAACAGAGTCATTACTAATATAGGCCTCCTGGGGTTGGCACCCTTCAACCTGTGCAAAAACAAAATGGGTGAAGATATTCCGCTAACTATTTTCAGCGTCAACCAATATAGATAAACAATAAAAATATACTGTATGATACTGTATAACATAAATTACAATATGTATATGTTGTATTCCATATGCAACTTACTATTCACATTTTAACTACAGTGTACATTAAATTAAAGTGCAATACAAATGAACAAAACTAATACTAATAGAATGGACAGCAGCTGTGAGATATCAAATAAGCTGGTCCAACCATTGCAGATGCCTCTGCTATTTATTAGACTCAAGTTGACACAATTTCATGTGAAAAATAATGAAAATAAGGAGTAGCAAATTTACAACTCTTAGCATGGGCTAGGAGTTAGAAATATGCTACACATATTCATCCCACATTGGGTACTGCTATAATATCTATGTTTCCAGTACATGCAGTTAATCTTAACTCATCTTGTTTCTAGTGCTACAACAGTTTGTGTAATGCTGATACAGAAGGGAGAGTGAGGACACTATCATAATCAAACTAGATAATAAGGAAAAATGACTACTACTTGAAAACCTCTTTCTTCATGACTTGATGAATCATGATAATGAAATACAATGTGATCTTCAATAATAATAAAAAAATATTAAAATTATAAGGGCAACATTCTCATGGAGGAAAATGTTTTAAATTCAAACTACAGTAACAAAGTAAATATTCTTTAGAAATAAGTAATTTTTATAAGGATACTGCAAATGCTTTCTTGGTCATGCACTTTATGTGACTAACAAAGTGGATTGATGTCAACTAGCACAAAGGTTGTTTTTAACAATTTAGTACAAACTAAATAAATATGCTGCCGTTAATGAGCTTGATTAAAATGGCATTTATAATACGAGACAAAAATTTAAGTAACAAAAGAAGAATAACTTTACAAATTTTACCAGAAATACAAAAATCATTCAGAATATAAACAAAAACATTACATTACACTAGCCAAATAATTAGACAACTGTGTTCAATATTTTAACTAAGATGAAAAAAAACATAAGATGTTAACACAAACAAAATATGCTTTTTATGCATTTGGGCAGTGTTTTATCTAAGGCCTTATCTACTGTACTTCACATAACTAGGAATGTGATATGAATGACAAACAAGAGGCCTTAAAAATTTTCTGGCCAATTGAAAAAACACACTTTCTGCCTCCTTCTTTCAACAAACTGGCTGTATACCACTGAGGCAGGGTGGCCCAAAAAGAAAAATGGAAGTTCATTTTAACTTTCGTAATGTATACGGGAGAAGGGGGTTACTAGCCCCCTGCTCCCGGCATTTTAGTCGCCTCCTATAACAAGCATGGCTTACAGAGGAAGAATTCTGTTCCACTTCCCCATGGAGATAAGAGGAAATAAACAAGAACAAGAACTAGCAAGAAAACAGAAGAAAACCCAGAGGGGTGATGTATATATATATACTTGTATATGCATGTGTAGTGTGACCTAAGTGTAAGTAGCAGTAGCAAGATGTACCTGAAATCTTGCATGTTTATGAAACAGAAAAAAAAGACACCAGCAATCCTACCATCATGTAAAACAATTACAGGCTTCTGTTTTACACTCACTTGGCAGGATGGTAGTACCTCCCTGGATGGTACAAGAAAAATTACATGTACCATATCAGATCTTGCTGAACTTTATTCTTAATGATCATCATTGCTTTTACCAATGGGATATGGCTTGTTTGTTGAAAGAAGAAAAATAAAAACTTTTGTTTTTCTTTTTAGGTCACCCTGCCTCAGTGGGATATGGCTGATTTGTTGAAAGACATAGAAGACAAAAAAAATATGAGGGATGGCTGGTATATGTTGAAAAAAAAAAAATAGAGAAATGTTGAGCTAAGCATTTCCCCATGTTTGAAGTACTAAAACATGTTTCACACTTTTTTTTTTTTTTCAAAATCTTTCCCTACATACAAAGGAATTTTTAATTGCAGGAATGCCACAGTTTAAGGGTTAACCTTACAATGTTATACATGTTATAACAATAAAAATTATTTAAATCCTATGCAGTTTATCTCTTTTTATTACAATAGTTTACAAAATAAATGTATTTATACAGGTAGGGAAACAATTTCAGCACACAATACACAACTTAAAAGTACACAGAGAGATATGCATGAAATTTAGGCACTATAATATAACCTGATCATGTTACATCAGCTTTCCCAACAACTTCACCCAAGGTGGAAGTGGTATGGTGATACTGACAAGAATACAATTCCAATATACAAAATACTCAAGGGCATGGACAGGGTACACAACGACAGGCTCTTTCTACAAGTAACTAACAAGAGTGCACTGTTAGTAGTTTCACACGCAAAAAAAAGAACCACATAATTTTCTAAAAAAAATCTTTATATTACTAAAGAAATGAGATGACCCATATAATATAACAGTGGAGCCCAAATCTATATAAGGGTTCAAAAGTAGATATGACAAAGCTATTTCATACTAGCTGGTTAAAAATTAAGTCCAACCATAAGCTAGAGCTTCCTCTCCTCCTCAATCTTTAATAATTACAAATGCATACTTAATTACACCCCCACATGCACACTTGCACGCACATACACACTTACTTTGACATCCTAAATAACAATGGCCTTTTTGGAGGAATACACAACATACAAAACAAACTTAGTAGTTTATTTCCTTTCTCAGATCATATTTTGAACCCATAATAATCGAATAAAGCTGACTACAACATTTACTACACAACAAACTATAAAAACAATGTCTTACTATACCTGATGATTTCAAATATTGGTATGTTAGTAATACCTTATAGAAAAAAGGCATAAAAGTAATGGGGAATAACTGATGTTAGTTACATAACTCTTGCATATATATACTGAAATCAAATAGGCCTATCAGGCATGCCATAAGAGGTGGCTAAAATGAAAGAGAAACTTTAATTTTTTTTCTTTTTAGATCATACTGCCGCAGTGGGATATGACCGGTGCATTAAAAAAAAAAAGGCTTATAAGCAAATATTGTATTCTTCTCCTCTATACTATATAATTTACCCTTTTATCACCTTAGCTGAGATATGAAAAGTAATGAGCACTGTCCACTATATCACTCTTAGAAGGGCAGTAACATTACTACCAGTACTGTATAAACTAGCTTTATGTCTAGATTACTGTATTATGTACAACCAGACACATCATGAGGATGGATGATCAAACACCCTGCAATATAAAAACATCTGTGAATGCCACAAGGTCAAACTACCGCATCTTACTTAAAAATTCACAAGACTGTATCTAGAGACGCTTAAAAGCACTTATTTCATCACAATCAGCTTTCAACATCTGATGAAGGATTTCTGGTAAAGCCAAAATGCTTCAATCACAATGAAGTCCCACACATAATGCTGGACATTTACCTAAAGGAAGAATCTAAGAATGTATTTTTCCTATCATTCCAATAGCATGACTGTTTCTAGTAACTAAAGGGAATTTATAAAACTTCTGAAAAGTAGTGAATAAATAGACAAAAGCTATTTCCAACAGCACTCCACTTCTCTCAGAGTGATATTACTTCCATCGTAATACCATGACCTTTCTAAAGTATTCCATACGTGAGTTTCATAATTTTTATCCTAATTCTGTAGACCAAACAGTTATGAATAACCTTGGTCTGTGGAATCGGTGGGTCCTCTGCTAAAGTTGTGTTGCAATGGTCAAGTGCAGCAATAGTTGCTTGATACTGCTGCAGCTTACTGATGTATGCTTGTTCCTGGGCCTCTTTTTCAACTCTCTGTTGCTCTTCCACCATTCGACGCTCTGCCACCAGCATCTGAACCTGATCCTCAAGCCTGCAAGGAAATAAGTGTGCTACAGGTCATGAATAGCATTAACTCTAGAGCATAGGTTCCCAGCCCCAGGTAGCACTATCCATTTTCTTCGGGGGTTATTATGCCATCAAATTTTCTTTACTGGTGGAAAAAAATTCAAAGGGTTCAGTTGAATTCTATATAAGTAATAATCTCAAATTTTAATAATGCTTTCCTAAATTATATATTCTTTCTTTTTCTTTCAACAAGTCGGCCGTCTCCCACCGAGGCAGGGTGACCCAAAAAAAAAAAGAAAGAAAATCCCCAAAAAGAAAATACTTTCATCATCATTCAACACTTTCACCACACTCACACATTATCACTGCTTTTGCAGAGGTGCTCAGAATACAACAGTTTAGAAGCATATACGTATAAAGATACACAACATATCCCTCCAAACTGCCAATATCCCAAAACCCCTCCTTTAGAGTGCAGGCATTGTACTTCCCATTTCCAGGACTCAAGTCCGACTATACGAAAATAACCGGTTTCCCTGAATCCCTTCACTAAATATTACCCTGCTCACACTCCAACAGATTGTCAGGTCCCAAGTACCATTCGTCTCCATTCACTCCTATCTAACATGCTCACGCACGCTTGCTGGAAGTTCAAGCCCCTTGCCCACAAAACCTCCTTTACCCCCTCTCTCCAACCCTTTCGAGGACGACCCCTACCCCTCCTTCCTTCCCCTATAGATTTATATACTTTCCATGTCATTCTCCTTTGATCCATTCTCTCTAAATGACCAAACCACCTCATCAACCCCTCTTCTGCCCTCATGGCTTACGGAGGAAAGATTCTTATTCCACTTCCCCATGGATATAAAAGGAAAAGTAATAAGACCAAGAACTATTAAGATAAAATCAAAGAAAACTCAGATGAGTGTGTATAAATAAACGTGTACATGTATGTGTAGTGTGACCTAAGTGTAAGTAGAAGTAGCAAGACGTACCTGTAATCTTGCATATTTATGAGAGACAAAAGACACCAGCAATCCTACCATCATGTAAAACAATTACAGGCTTTTGCTTTACACTCACTTGGCAGGACGGTAGTACCTCCCTGGGTGGTTGCTGTCTACCAACCTCACTCACACACAATCACTGTTTTTGCAGAGGTGCTCAGAACACAACAGTTTAGAAGCATATACGTATAAAGATGCACAGCATATCCCTCCAAACTGCTAATATCCCAAAACCTAATTCTTTCAATTATAACTCTACCGTATACTTTTCCTGGTATACTCAGTAAACTTATTCCTCTATAATTTTTACAATCTCTTTTGTCCCCTTTCCCTTTATATAAAGGGACTATACATGCTCTCTGCCAATCCCTAGGTACCTTCCCCTCTTTCATACATTTATTAAACAAAAGTACCAATCACTCCAACACTATATCCCCCCCTGCTTTTAACATTTCTGTCATGATCCCATCAGTTCCAGCTGCTTTACCCCCTTTCATTCTACGTAATGCCTCACGTACCTCCACCACACTTACATTACGCTCTTCTTCACTCCTAAAAGATGGTATACCTCCCTGGCCAGTGCATGAAATTACCGCCTCCCTTTCTTCCTCAACATTTAAAAGTTCCTCAAAATATTCTCGCCATCTACCTAATACCTCCCTCTCCCCATCTACTAACTCCCCTACTCTGTTTTTAATGGACAAATCCATACTTTCCCTAGGCTTTCTTAACTTGTTTAACTCACTCCAAAATTTTTTCTTATTTTCATTAAAATTTCTTGACAGTGCCTCTCCCACTCTTTCATCTGCTCTCCTTTTGCACTCTCTCACCACTCTCTTCACCTTTCTTTTACTCTCCATATACTCTGCTCTTCTTATAACACTTCTGCTTTGTAAAAACCTCTCGTAAGCTACCTTTTTCTCTTTTATCACACCCTTTACTTCATCATTCCACCAATCACTCCTCTTTCCTCCTGCCCCCACCCTCCTATAACCACAAACTTCTGCCCCACATTCTAATACTGCATTTTTAAAACTATTCCAACCCTCTTCAACCCCCCCACTACTCATCTTTGCACTAGCCCACCTTTCTGCCAATAGTCGTTTATATCTCACCTGAACTTCCTCCTCCCTTAGTTTATACACTTTCACCTCCCTCTTACTTGTTGTTGCCACCTTCCTCTTTTCCCATCTACCTCTTACTCTAACTGTAGCTACAACTAAATAATGATCTGACATATCAGTTGCCCCTCTATAAACATGTACATCCTGGAGCCTACCCATCAACCTTTTATCCACCAAAACATAATCTAACAAACTACTTTCATTACGTGCTACATCATACCTTGTATATTTATTTATCCTCTTTTTCATAAAATATGTATTACTTATTACCAAATTTCTTTCTACACATAGCTCAATTAAAGGCTCCCCATTTACATTTACCCCTGGCACCCCAAATTTACCTACTACTCCCTCCATAACATTTTTACCCACTTTAGCATTGAAATCCCCAACCACCATTACTCTCACACTTGATTCAAAACTCCCCACGCATTCACTCAACATTTCCCAGAATCTCTCTCTCTCCTCTACACTTCTTTCTTCTCCAGGTGCATACACGCTTACTATAACCCACTTTTCACATCCAATCTTTATTTTACTCCACATAATCCTTGAATTTATGCATTTGTAGTCCCTCTTTTCCTGCCATAGCTTATCCTTCAACATTATTGCTACTCCTTCTTTAGCTCTAACTCTATTTGAAACCCCTGACCTAATCCCATTTACTCCTCTCCATTGAAACTCTCCCACCCCCTTCAGCTTTGTTTCACTTAAAGCCAGGACATCCAGTTTCTTCTCATTCATAACATCCACAATCATCTCTTTCTCCCAAGTACCGTTATAGAGGCCAGAACGTTGTGTAGCTTTAAAAATAGGTTGGATAAATACATGAGTAGATGTGGGTGGGTGTGAGTTAGACCTGATAGCTTGTGCTAACAGGTCGGTTGCCGTGTTCCTCCCTTAAGTCAATGTGACCTGACCTGACTAGGTTGGGTGCATTGGCTTAAGCCGGTAGGAGACTTGGACCTGCCTCGCATGGGCCAGTAGGCCTTCTGCAGTGTTCCTTCGTTCTTATGTTCTTATGTTCTTATGTTTATCATTTGCACAACATCCACGCACATTCAGACTTCCCACTTTGACAATTTTCTTCTTCTTATTCTTTTTAGTAATCTTTACAGGAAAAGGGGTTACTAGCCCATTGTTCCCGGCATTTTAGTTGACTTTTACAACACGCATGGCTTACGGAGGAAAGATTCTTATTCCACTTCCCCATGGATATAAAAGGAAAAGTAATAAGACCAAGAACTATTAAGATAAAATCAAAGAAAACTCAGATGAGTGTGTATAAATAAACGTGTACATGTATGTGTAGTGTGACCTAAGTGTAAGTAGAAGTAGCAAGACGTACCTGTAATCTTGCATATTTATGAGACAGACAAAAGACACCAGCAATCCTACCATCATGTAAAACAATTACAGGCTTTTGCTTTACACTCACTTGGCAGGACGGTAGTACCTCCCTGGGTGGTTGCTGTCTACCAACCTCACTCACACACAATCACTGTTTTTGCAGAGGTGCTCAGAACACAACAGTTTAGAAGCATATACATATAAAGATGCACAGCATATCCCTCCAAACTGCTAATATCCCAAAACCCCTCCTTTAGAGTGCAGGCATTGTACTTCCCATTTCCAGGACTCAAGTCCGACTATACGAAAATAACCGGTTTCCCTGAATCCCTTCACTAAATATTACCCTGCTCACACTCCAACAGATTGTCAGGTCCCAAGTACCATTCGTCTCCATTCACTCCTATCTAACATGCTCACACACGCTTGCTGGAAGTTCAAGCCCCTTGCCCACAAAACCTCCTTTACCCCCTCTCTCCAACCCTTTCGAGGACGACCCCTACCCCGCCTTCCTTCCCCAATAGATTTATATGCTTTCCATGTCATTCTACTTTGATCCATTCTCTCTAAATGACCAAACCACCTCATCAACCCCTCTTCTGCCCTCTGACTAATACTTTTATTAACTCCACACCTCCTCCTAATTTCCACACTCCGAATTTTCTGCATAATATTTACACCACACATTGCCCTTAGACAGGACATCTCCACTGCCTCCAACCGTCTCCTCGCTGCTGCATTTACCACCCAAGCTTCACACCCATATAAGAGTGTTGGTACTACTATACTTTCATACATTCCCTTCTTTGCCTCCATAGATAACGTTTTTTGACTCCACATATACCTCAATGCACCACTCACCTTTTTTCCCTCATCAATTCTATGATTAACCTCATCCTTCATAAATCCATCCGCCGACATGTCAACTCCCAAGTATCTGAAAACATTCACTTCTTCCATACTCCTCCTCCCCAATTTGATATCCAATTTTTCTTTATCTAAATCATTTGATACCCTCATCACCTTACTCTTTTCTATGTTCACTTTCAACTTTCTACCTTTACACACATTCCCAAACTCATCCACTAACCTTTGCAATTTTTCTTTAGAATCTCCCATAAGCACAGTATCATCAGCAAAAAGTAACTGTGTCAATTCCCATTTTGAATTTGATTCCCCAAAATTTAATCCCACCTCTCTCCCGAACACCCTAGCATTTACTTCCTTTACAACCCCATCTATAAATATATTAAACAACCATGGTGACATTACACATCCCTGTCTAAGACCTACTTTTACCGGGAAGTAGTCTCCCTCTCTTCTACACACCCTAACCTGAGCCTCATTATCCTCATAAAAACTCTTTACAGCATTTAATAACTTACCACCTATTCCATATACTTACAACATCTGCCACATTGCTCCTCTATCCACTCTATCATATGCCTTTTCTAAATCCATAAATGCAATAAAAACTTCCCTACCTTTATCTAAATACTGTTCACATACATATATGCTTCAATGTAAACACTTGATCTACACAT